ATATTGTTCCACCAATATCGTCCTGTTTTTTTCGCGTTAAACAATTCACCGCCAATACAGAGCTTTGGAAGAAGTCTTTTTGTTCCTGTCGTGTGCTGCCACCACATTCCGGCATTGGGCACGTGGCGATGATGATTTGGCCAGTAGTGCATAGACCATGGCTGATGATGCCCGGCTCCACCAGGAGCCGACGGACCAACAGATGCTCCACGCGTTGTCTCACCGCAGTGACACGAGGCAGTGTTGTCAGTGGCCGCACCCCCTCCGACAGTTGACTCTCGACCCACCGACCGCCCTCGGAAGGCGATTTAAACTCACCCAGCCCTGTCGTCACGATTCGCGGTTCGGATTCCATTTGAAGAATCGCTTCTTTCTCGGAGACATTTTTAACGTCTCATTCACGTAATTTATTATTTACCCTGTGTTGTTTGCATAGCTCTGTTCAATACATACGCCTAAATGTAACATTAGCACATAATTTGCATATACTTTGCATAAACCATAAACAGTTGATTCTGACAGTCACAATTCAAAGCCTGTATCATGGTAAAAAATAATCGATTTTAATCGATGAATTGACGCATCATTACATGCATAATTGCCAGTGTCTCCTGAATTTCACCGAGGCCTCCGTGCGTGCAGTTATTACTTACGGTATTTCATCATCGTTTCAGCAGTGTTTATAGCTTTAAAGCCAGCAATGCACTGCTTCAGGAAATGCCGGCGGTTGTTTCTTTGCATTTGCCCAATGGCTGTGGGCTTTTGACCCATTCTTTTGCGACCCGTTTGAAACTTGTGACAAGGAAACTCGGCGGGGCGTGGTGGCGGCAGCGATCTTGGCCACTGCACCTCGGTGCCCGTGACTGACCCACTGGCGTCGCTTGCCCGCAGCATTCGCGCGGCTTGTGAGACGCGCCACGCACCGTGCACCACGCTATTGGTTATCGCTTGGGGGAGCCCCGCAGTACAGTTGTCTCTTCCCGCTGCGGAAGGTGACCGTGGATAACCCTGACCGGGCCAGTGTCAAACCGTTGTGACCCTCTCAAAATTCAGCAAGAGGCATTGAGGACAACCTCATTCGACTTTTCCCGAGGCTTCCACTTCGGCTGTGGGACATGTACATTGGACAGATTCGTTGCTATGAAAAGAAGTCCCCTCAACGCACAGCGCGGACTCTTGGCAGTTGTTGTCCGTTCGTAAAAGTTCTCCGTTCGGCCTGGCTTGGACGTCGCTGTCGGCGCCGCCACATCTGAACGAGGTGCGGACGGTCTGTTGTGCCCGGGAGACGAGCGCTTGGCGAGGGTCCTTGGTTTTCGTGTCTCTGTTGGTGGTGACGGTGGCGACTTGCGGCACGGCGTAGATGATGAGGTGTCGGGCTCAAGACTGAGCGCTTCCCAGAGTAAATGGTTTATGGTTGTCATCATCATCTTCCCAGTTCTTGTCATGGTCATCATCACCATAATCATCGTCATGATCATCACCATGATGATCATCACCATGGTCATCATCATCGTTATCATGGTCGATGAAACACGTACCACCTGGTGAGGCTGCATCACTTGGTGGGAAGTCATTGGTAGTTGTGGTATATAGGAACATGGAAATTCCAGTCGTGGCTCAGTACCCCCCCCCCCCCCCCCCCCAGTTGAGGTAAGCACTGCCCAATGCTTGTTTAAGCAAAGGTGGGGCTCGACTTATTTGAATGAGACAATAAAACAAATTCCAGCAACTACAGCTCTTAGACGTTGACGTCATGAAGCAGTAATACGAATGCGATCTGTCACGAGCGTTATGACACGTATCCTGTCAGTAATACTGAATATCCCCTATGATACTATTGAGCGCTCGCGTATAATTAAGACATTAATACTTTAATAACTTCTTTGCTCCTTTTGCCAAGTCCAGCAAAAAAGTGCCTCCAAACACAGACGCTTCCATTGAAGAAAACTAAAATAACCCAAGACATCGTCGTTTAGATATTTGACATTTCAACAGATATGCCGGCGTCCTTCCCAGCCATTGTGAACTTTTTGTTGTTGATAGGCGGTGGACCTCGCATCGCAACCCAACGCAGTGGATCGAGTTTCCCTCCGACCGGAGGCCGCCTCCTGATTTATTAATCTCCTGTTTGGCTGCGGGCCTCGGGGAGGCTTTTAAACAAAATCCTTCATGAACATTACCCCATTCTCTTTCTAATTCTGTCTTCGTAATAATCACCGCCGCCACCACGCTCCAATTTTATTCTCGCTTGCCATCGTCTGCTTCTTCTTCGTCTTCTGTGTGGTGTGGAGTTTATCAGCAATGTTCGCACGTGCATGTGGAGGTTGGCGAATGTGCCAGTGGATAGCTTCGGGAGTAGGCACAATGCGAATATCTGAAACGCTGCCCGGCGATCGATGGAAGAGGGCAGTGGATCTACTGTGTGGTCCATGGTTTGAGATGTTGACTCGCATGGAGATTCAGTCTCATATAAGAGAGCCACAGAGAGACCCATAGACTCACACGCACAGCTGGGCAATAGCTGAAATGCTGGCGTAAGTATGTTGAACTTCTTTCACACTGTACACAGAAAACCGTGCTAATTGTAGGTGCGGGGGGAGGACAACAAACTTAACACAAAAAACAGTTCTCACGAAATGAGGTTTCAACGTAGTTAATTTAAACGTGCACGGCTCCAGTGGCTTCCTAATATCGGAAGGAAGAGCGTTCCAGACGGCCGCAGACGTGCGTCTGAAAGTGCCGTGCGATGCGGTGACCACCGCCTTTGTTCGACGGCGAGCCAACAGCAGCTCCTGCTGCTGTGAGTGTCCCGTGGCATCGGCAATGAGCCGGTCCCGTTCATCTGGTGATGGGGGACCGGTCCCCTTGCCAGGTGATGGGGACCGGTCACCTTGCCAGGTGATGGGGACCGGTCCCCTTGCCAGGTGATGGGGACCGGTCACCTTGCCAGGTGATGGGGACCGGTCCCCATCACCTTGCCAGGTGATGGGGACCGGTCCCCTTGCCAGGTGAGGGGGACGGTCCCCATCACCTGGCGAGGGGAGCCGGTCCCGGGTTTGCTCGCGGTGCCTCCACTCCCCACCTGCACGCCGCGGGGTCAGTGGCTGGGGGCGGTAACCCCCGAGCGCCCAGTCCCCCGCGGGCTGCGCGCGTCCAGGCACCACCCCCACCACCCACCCCCCGAGGGCTTCGTCACCGTCCGCCGTCGTGGCGGCGCCCCAGCCCTGCCCGAGACGAGGCTCTTAGTGAAGTGGTTTTATTTTATTTTACTTTGAAGGGTTTCGGTGGTGGGGGAGGGGGGCTTGCTGCGCGCGTGGCCGCGTGAGCCGCGTCCGTCCCCTGCCGCCTTCTCGCCGAGAGGGGCGATGGCTCAGTACGAGACTATTATCATCGTCTGCGTTTGCGTAGCATCTGTACAATACAATATGGTATAATGTGGAAGTGTCTTAACCGTACATCCTCCAGGTGCTGTGCGGGAAAGGTGAGTGTCTGTGTGGGTGTATGTGGCCTGACTGTGAGTCTGTGGGTTCCTGTGTGAGTGAATGGGTCCCGTGGGTCTCTCCGTGCGAGTCTTACGTATGCGCTTAGGACTTCTTTCGCACCTCCTCACCAGCCGTGGTGGCTGGTGAGGAGGTGGCTGGTGAGGAGGTGGCTGGTGAGGAGGAGCGCGCCCCCTGTGAAGGAGGCGGCAGCACGTGGGGCCACCCCGCCGCTGTTGATCTCCCATGGGTGGCTGCTCAGAGTCGAACCAGGGCAGTCGTTCTCGGCATATTTTGGCCGCTATATGTACCCCTTGTTGATAACGTGTGAATAACGAACGTCAATAATTTCAACAATTGTCCATTTTGTGAGGTAACCTAAGCTGGCCAAGTCACTGCAAGGGAACGAAGTGAATGTGTTCACGCTCGCTGGCTACTGTTGGAAACCCGCGCTGTTCACCATCAATGAGTTCAGAAAGGTCTTTAATGTCGTTCTAGGGTTACCATATGGATTAAACATTTCTAGTAGTTATGTTATATTGGCAGATGTATACATGATTATTCACCGAAGATTCGCACGCACGATATAATTATCCACTTTTATAAATCACCTCACGTTAGACCCCCGCTGGGGGGGACACCTCCAGGGGGTCCGCGGAGCCCCCCGGGTGAGAGCCCCCCGGACTTTACCCCCGCACCTCCGAGTTGGCTCGTCGGGCTACGTGGACACGACAAGGCCGTCGTGGTCTTGTCGTGGTGGACACGACAAGGCCATCGTAGACACCACGGCCACTACTAGACACAACAAGGCCATCGTGGTCTTGTGGTGGACACGACAAGACCCTGGTGGACACCACAGCCACTACTAGACACAACAAGGCCGTGGTGGACACACGACAAGGCCGTGGTGGACACCACGGCCACTACTAGGCACAACAAGGCCGTGGTGGACACGACGAGGCCGTGGTGGACACGACAAGGCCGTGGTGGACACGACAAGGCCGTGGTGGACACGACAAGGCCGTGGTGGACACGACAAGGCCGTCGGTCACCCGCGGCGTGCTTCGGGTTGTGCCCGCGAGTGCCTCGACAAAGTCGCCGTGTCTGCTCACTGCCCCTCTCTCTGCCCCTCTCACTGCCCCTCTCTCTGCCCCTCTCTCTGCCCCTCTCTCTGCCCCTCTCTCCCCCTCTCTCTGCCCCTCTCTGCCCCTCTCTCTGCCCCTCTCTCTGCCCCTCTCACTGCCCCTCTCGCTGCCCCTCTCTCTGCCCCTCTCACTGCCCCTCTCTCTGCCCCTCTCTCTGCCTCTCTGTCCCTCTCTCTCCCCCTCTCACTGCCCCTCTCACTGCCCCTCTCTCTGCCCCTCTCGCTGCCCCTCTCACTGCCCCTCTCTGCCCCTCTCTCTGCCCCTCTCTCTGCCCCTCTCTCTGCCCCTCTCACTGCCCCTCTCGCTGCCCCTCTGCCCCTCTCTCTGCCCCTCTGCCCCTCTCTCTCCCCCTCTCTCTGTCCCTCTCACGCCGCAGGTGGCACGCGAGGCTGGTGGCGCTCGCGCGCGGGAGCCGCACGAACCACGTCAAGAAGCGCAGGGCGGAGGTGCAGCTTGAGCAGGTACGTGTTGTCTCTGTGTGTGTGTGTAGGGTGTGTGTCTATGTGTGTGGGTGTAGGGTGTGTGTCTGTGTGTGTGTGTAGGGTGTGTGTCTCTGTGTGTGTGTGTAGGGTGTGTGTCTCTGTGTGTGGGTGTAGGGTGTGTGTCTCTGTGTGTGGGTGTAGGGTGTGTTGTCTCTGTGTGTGGGTGTAGGGTGTGTGTCTGTGTGTGTGGGTGTAGGGTGTGTGTCTGTGTGTGGGTGTAGGGTGTGTGTCTCTGTGTGGGTGTAGGGTGTGTGTCTGTGTGTGTGGGTGTAGGGTGTGTTGTCTCTGTGTGTGGGTGTAGGGTGTGTGTCTCTGTGTGTGGGTGTAGGGTGTGTGTCTCTGTGTGTGGGTGTAGGGTGTGTGTCTCTGTGTGTGGGTGTAGGGTGTGTGTCTCTGTGTGTGGGTGTAGGGTGTGTGTCTCTGTGTGTGTGTGTAGGGTGTGTCTCTGTGGAACATCTTCGCCGGTTAGAAACATTTAGGCAGGCCTGCCTACGATCCATCCTGGGTTTAACCAGACTGGATTGTGTGAGGAGCTCACAAATCCTTGAAAGATCTGGGCAGGGTCCCATCGGTGAGCTCCTCCGGCAGGCAAGGCTGCGATGGCTGGGTCATGTAGCCCGCATGCCCAGCCACCGCATGCCGAAACAGCTTTTGTTTGGCCGGATTGAGGGGGCTAAGCGGGCGCGGCACGGGCTAGAGAAGAGATGGAGTGATGTGGTACAGGAGGACGTGGAGCTGAGTGGACTTGCCGATGACTGGTACCAGCGGTGTCAAGATCGGCCTCTGTGGAGGAGGCTCGTGAAGGATGCTACTGGGCAGTTGGAGGCAGTCGCCCTCCAACAACAACGGAGGGCGGAGGAGCGACGCTCACAACAGCGAGCGGAGCGCCGGGTGGCTAAAGCACAGCAGTTTGGCACAGTAGGGGGCACAGGTGGTACATCAGCCAGTCATCTCAGTCAGTCGACCCGTGGCACCTGGGTCTGCCCCGTGACTACCTGCCAGCGGGCGTTCGACACTTCACGTGGCCTCAGGGTGCACATAGCCTGGCACAAGCGTCGTGGTGACGTCACCGCCACTTAGTGGCGAATGGCGGTTGTTGTTGTGTGGGTGTAGGGTGTGTGTCTCTGTGTGTGGGTGTAGGGTGTGTTGTCTCTGTGTGTGGGTGTAGGGTGTGTTGTCTCTGTGTGTGTGTGTGTAGGGTGTGTGTCTCTGTGTGTGGGTGTAGGGTGTGTTGTCTCTGTGTGTGGGTGTAGGGTGGTGTCTCTGTGTGTGGGTGTAGGGTGTGTGTCTCTGTGTGTGGGTGTAGGGTGTGTGTCTCTGTGTGTGGGTGTAGGGTGTGTGTCTCTGTGTGTGGGTGTAGGGTGTGTGTCTCTGTGTGTGGGTGTAGGGTGTGTGTCTGTGTGTGTGGGTGTAGGGTGTGTCTCTGTGTGTGGGTGTAGGGTGTGTGTCTCTGTGTGGGTGTAGGGTGTGTGTCTGTGTGTGTGGGTGTGTTGTCTCTGTGTGTGGGTGTAGGGTGTGTGTCTCTGTGTGTGGGTGTAGGGTGTGTGTCTCTGTGTGTGGGTGTGTTGTCTCTGTGTGTGGGTGTAGGGTGTGTGTCTGTGTGTAGGTGTAGGGTGTGTGTCTCTGTGTGTGTGTGTAGGGTGTGTGTCTGTGTGTGTGGGTGTAGGGTGTGTGTCTCTGTGTGTGGGTGTAGGGTGTGTTGTCTCTGTGTGTGGGTGTAGGGTGTGTTGTCTCTGTGTGTGTGTGTAGGGTGTGTGTCTCTGTGTGTGGGTGTAGGGTGTGTGTCTCTGTGTGTGGGTGTAGGGTGTGTTGTCTCTGTGTGTGGGTGTAGGGTGTGTGTCTGTGTGTGTGGGTGTAGGGTGTGTGTCTGTGTGTGGGTGTAGGGTGTGTGTCTCTGTGTGGGTGTAGGGTGTGTGTCTGTGTGTGTGGGTGTAGGGTGTGTTGTCTCTGTGTGTGGGTGTAGGGTGTGTGTCTCTGTGTGTGGGTGTAGGGTGTGTGTCTCTGTGTGTGGGTGTAGGGTATGTGTCTCTGTGTGTGGGTGTAGGGTGTGTGTCTCTGTGTGTGGATGTAGGGTGTGTGTCTGTGTGTAGGTGTAGGGTGTGTGTCTCTGTGTGTGTGTGTAGGGTGTGTGTCTGTGTGTGTGGGTGTAGGGTGTGTGTCTCTGTGTGTGGGTGTAGGGTGTGTTGTCTCTGTGTGTGGGTGTAGGGTGTGTTGTATCTGTGTGTGTGTGTAGGGTGTGTGTCTCTGTGTGTGGGTGTAGGGTGTGTTGTCTCTGTGTGTGGGTGTAGGGTGGTGTCTCTGTGTGTGGGTGTAGGGTGTGTGTCTCTGTGTGTGGGTGTAGGGTGTGTGTCTCTGTGTGTGGGTGTAGGGTGTGTGTCTCTGTGTGTGGGTGTAGGGTGTGTGTCTCTGTGTGTGGGTGTAGGGTGTGTGTCTGTGTGTGTGGGTGTAGGGTGTGTCTCTGTGTGTGGGTGTAGGGTGTGTGTCTCTGTGTGGGTGTAGGGTGTGTGTCTGTGTGTGTGGGTGTGTTGTCTCTGTGTGTGGGTGTAGGGTGTGTGTCTCTGTGTGTGGGTGTAGGGTGTGTGTCTCTGTGTGTGGGTGTGTTGTCTCTGTGTGTGGGTGTAGGGTGTGTGTCTGTGTGTAGGTGTAGGGTATGTGTCTCTGTGTGTGTGTGTATGGTGTGTGTCTGTGTGTGTGGGTGTAGGGTGTGTGTCTCTGTGTGTGGGTGTAGGGTGTGTTGTCTCTGTGTGTGGGTGTAGGGTGTGTTGTCTCTGTGTGTGTGTAGGGTGTGTGTCTCTGTGTGTAGGGTGTGTTGTCTCTGTGTGTGGGTGTAGGGTGGTGTCTCTGTGTGTGGGTGTAGGGTGTGTTGTCTCTGTGTGTGGGTGTAGGGTGTGTGTCTCTGTGTGTGGGTGTAGGGTGTGTGTCTCTGTGTGTGGGTGTAGGGTGTGTTGTCTCTGTGTGTGGGTGTAGGGTGTGTTGTCTCTGTGTGTGGGTGTAGGGTGTGTTGTCTGTGTGTAGGGTGTGTTGTCTCTGTGTGTGTGTGTAGGGTGTGTGTCTCTGTGTGTGGGTGTGTTGTCTCTGTGTGGGTGTAGGGTGTGTCTCTGTGTGTGGGTGTAGGGTGTGTGTCTCTGTGTGTGGGTGTGTTGTCTCTGTGTGTGGGTGTAGGGTGTGTGTCTCTGTGTGTGGGTGTAGGGTGTGTGTCTCTGTGTGTGGGTGTAGGGTGTGTGTCTCTGTGTGTAGGGTGTGTGTCTCTGTGTGTGGGTGTAGGGTGTGTGTCTCTGTGTGTGGGTGTAGGGTGTGTGTCTCTGTGTGTGGGTGTAGGGTGTGTGTCTCTGTGTGTGGGTGTAGGGTGTGTTGTCTCTGTGTGTGGAAAGACCCAGTCGTCTGACTGGGTCTTTAATGTTTTTATTGCGGCTCAATGGGAGCCAGGTACAGAGCACCGCTCATAGTATCAGAGGGAGGGGGGGAGAAGTAACGAGGGGGACATTCTGGGGGAAGTAACGAGGAGAGACATTCTGGGTGAAGTAACGAGGAGGACATTCTGGGGGAAGTAACGAGCGGGACATTCTGGGTGAAGTAACGAGGAGAGACATTCTGGGTGATGTAACGAGGAGGACATCCTTGGTGAAGTAACGAGGAGAGACATTCTGGATGAAGTAACGAGGAGGACATTCTGGGTGAAGTAACGAGCGGGACATCCTTGGTGAAGTAACGAGGAGGACATTCTGGGTGAAGTAACGAGGGGGACATTCTTGGTGAAGTAACGAGGTGGACATTCTGGGTGAAGTAACGAGGGGGACATTCTGGGTGAAGTAACGAGGAGGACATTCTGGGTGAAGTAACGAGGGAGGACATTCTGGGGAAGTAACGAGGAGGACATTCTGGGGGAAGTAACGAGAGAGACATTCTGGGTGAAGTAACGAGGAGAGACATTCTGGGTGATGTAACGAGAGAGACATTCTGGGGAAGTAACGAGGAGGACATTCTGGGTGATGTAACGAGGGGGACATTCTGGGTGAAGTAACGAGGGGGACATTCTGGGTGAAGTAACGAGGGGGACATTCTCGGTGAAGTAACGAGGAGGGACATTCTGGGTGAAGTAACGAGGGGGACATTCTGGGTGATGTAACGAGAGAGACATTCTGGTGAAGTAACGAGGACGACATTCTGGGTGAAGTAACGAGGAGGACATTCTGGGGGAAGTAACGAGGAGGACATTCTGGGGAAGTAACGAGGAGGACATTCTGGGTGATGTAACGAGGGGGGACATTCTGGGTGATGTAACGAGGGGGGACATTCTGGGTGATGTAACGAGGGGGGACATTCTGGATGAAGTAACGAGGAGAGACATTCTGGGTGAAGTAACGAGGAGGACATTCTGGGTGAAGTAACGAGGGAGGACATTCTGGGTGATGTAACGAGGAGGACATTCTGGGTGAAGTAACGAGGAGACATTCTGGGTGAAGTAACGAGGAGGACATTCTGGGTGAAGTAACGAGGGAGACATTCTGGGTGAAGTAACGAGGAGAGACATTCTGTGGAAGTAACGAGGAGGACATTCTGGGGAAGTAACGAGGAGGACTTTCTGGGTGAAGTAACGAGGAGGACATTCTGGGTGAAGTAACGAGGGGGACATTCTGGGTGAAGTAACGAGGGAGACATTCTGGGTGAAGTAACGAGGAGGACATTCTGGGTGAAGTAACGAGGGGGACATTCTGGGTGAAGTAACGAGCGAGACATTCTGGGTGAAGTAACGAGGAGGACATTCTGGGTGAAGTAACGAGGAGGACATACTGGGTGAAGTAACGAGGGGGACATTCTGGGTGAAGTAACGAGGAGAGACATTCTGGGTGAAGTAACGAGGAGAGACATTCTGGGTGAAGTAACGAGGGAGACATTCTGGGTGATGTAACGAGGAGGACATTCTGGGTGAAGTAACGAGGGGGACATTCTGGGGAAGTAACGAGAGGGGGGACATTTTG